CCCCCCCCCCCCCCCCCCCCCCCCCCCCCCCCCCCCGGCTCTCCTCTCCAAAACCCCGGCTCTCCTTGCATTGAACAATAGTTCAGCAGCAGGATTGACAAAATGGAACAGCAATCATCTTGCTGAATGTTTTATATTCATTTCAATCTTGAGAAATGCATGCACCATCTAATTGAATTTCAGGATATGAGCATTTCTCAAATCCTGGTTGATGGAGTATATGACTTTCCAGAGTGTGCGAATCCTGTAAGATTACTTAATTGTGAACAAATATTCCTGAAGTCTAATGATACCACACGCCTGTTGTATATCTCCACAGGATAGGCACGTTTGTGAAGGCATATCTGATTCATTATTTCTCTGTCTAATCTGAAAATAGTATCTATGCATCAAGATCTTTGGTGTAAACTATTCCGTGTCTGGGTGGTGATATATTTATGTTGTATCTGTGTCCGCATCCCTTGTTTTTTCATTGTCAGTACTTGAGAATTGCAACCATAGCAACGTTCGTCTGTGAATGCCATTTTATAAGGCTGCTTCCATTATTTGTCAGAACACTTCATCCCAATTCATCAAATTTGGAGTGACTCCTTTTTTTTTTTTCTTTTTTTTTTTTTTCCTTTTGAAAGAAGGGAAATGTCCAGATTCCTGGACATTCCCTGTCCAGATTACTTCTAAAAGCAGTATTCGGGCATTGTCTTGTTTTTACCTTTTGAGATTTGAAAGATGGACCCAGTGCTGTGGGTGCTCACAATTGAGCGCTGAAACAAATTTTAAATTGCAAGTGAAGCCAACACATGAAATGTGATCTAATGTCTTGAGTTTTGTCACTCCCAGTCTATTGTCTGAAGAGACATAAATATCGCTTGCTCTGTGTTGGTGCATCTACATCAGCTACTATGACATAACTAAGGATCTTAGTGAGCAAAGCATCGTTCTTGTTACACCTCAGGGCGTTTCACCTTAACAGATTTTTCTAGACAGACTAGGACTGTTCTTGTAGTGATATTCTCTTTTCTCTAGTTAAAATAAAAGTTTAATCCCTATATTATTTGTAAATATAGTATTGGAAACTTAAATAATAACAAATTTTGAATAATTTCAACTTTAGTGTAATTATTTAGAAAAGAGTAACTCCAAGATGATGGTAAGTTTCATTGCAGCAGAGGTAAGGGACGGGGCAGACAAGTCTTTACTATGAAATGCTGCTCTGGCACATGGGGATTTCTAAAGAAACCATATGGGAGTTTTGTACTCCTTGATGCCAACACAGATGCGCCTGAATCAGAAAGTTGAAAAAGGACCGGGATTGTGTTAGTATAAATAATATGTATAGCTTGCTTGAGATGTGGTTTTTTTCTGTTGGTTTTTTTTGCCAGTGTCAAGATATGGAATAGTTACACTTCATTAAATACAAGGTATGATACACCTGCTGGGTCTGTCTGAGCATTCAGAAAAGGTAGTGATTATCTGCTGCAGTGTGAATGGATCTTTGATTAGCTAGTTTGAAAGGGCTTTTTAGTGTCAGTGCAACTGCAGTACTCAAACCACATTGCATTTGACCTTGGCTTGACATGATGATGTTTGATTTTTTTTTTTTTTTTATATATATCCAAGAGAACATTAACCATATTTATGCTTTATTTTCCTGCTTTCTATTAGTTTTTCTTTGTTTTATGCTTAAGTTTTATCCTTAGGTGAAATACAAGCCTTCTATGTTGAAAGAATTACTGTAAAAATACAAAGCCTGTCTGTCTTCTCTTTTACAGAGGAGAGGCAGTTTCTCTTTTGCTTTTGTGGGGTTTTTTTTTGGGGGGTAAGGAAGGTGGTCAGATGTCGAGAATAAGCTTTTGTGGTGGAAAAGTATAGGAAGGAATTTATTCTTGAAAGGTAAGGGGTTTTAACATCTGAAGTCCGTGTGTTTCTTAAAATACCTTTCAGTGTAAACTTGCTGTTGACTTATAATATAAAAGAGAATATTTATTTTTACAGAATATTTATTTTTAGGCATTCTGTTCCTGCCACAGTGTTGCTTATTCTTGTTTTTGTAACAGTTTTTGACACCGAAGAACTGTTCCTTAGATGGTTATTGCTATAAATGGTAACCATTTAGTAGTGTTCAAGTTTCACATAAATCTCTCTTAGGAGGAGGAGGAAAAATCTAATTTTTTCTCTGTACTGAATAGGTTAGCAAGCATTACTGTAAGAAACTTGGCAATTTCAATACCAGATAATGTTTCCTGGGAGCAGAAAACTTGCTGCTGGGACTAAAATGGTCTGGCAAAATGTTCATCTTTCATTACTGTTTGTTTTATGGACTCATCTTCTTCCCCTTTCATCTTTTTTCACCTTAAATAAAGATAATTTTTATGGTGGGAAGAGGATACCTATCTCCAGACCTCAGCAAAGTACGGAGCAACTGTCCAAAAGCTATGAAGAGACTAATGGCAGAATGCTTAAAAAAGAAAAGAGACGAGAGACCCCTTTTTCCACAGGTGAGAAAGGTTCCTCTTTAGTTCTCAGTAGACTTACAATTCAAATATTAAAAATAAATATCAGTTATGAACTCACTGGGCCATTCAAAAGTCTTTTAATTAGCGCTATACCATGACTTCATAACAGTACTGGCTCAGTACCTGGTTAGTGCTGTTTAATTAGAAATGTTTATTTTCAATTCAAAAAGCAGGTATTAAAATGACTTGTGTAGTTGGAAAAGCATTTATATGTTGGAGAAAGTTTCAACTGGGAGACAGTGAAATTAAGAATCGCAATTAGACACACAAATTAGAACTTGCTGTGTATGTTCTCAGAAATCTTTATACCCCCCTCCTTGCTCTCCCCCGAACTTTATGAAAGGAAACTGATAGTTTTGTTACAAAACTTGATTTATCATGCCTGCTGAGGAAGGTTTGGATTCTAAAAGCTTGGGGGGGCACACCTTTTTTTTTTTTTTTTTTTTTAATGTAATTTTATTTGAGTAACCAAAGCATTTTCAAAAAATAATGGGCTCCCCCTGCTGGCTTTATGGTAAATAGTATTAAGCAAACTGCTGCCAAAGCTGTGTTTATTTGCAGCGATGGTAGGTATAGGTACTAGTGCATAAACAAGGAGGCAAATAGAAAGCAACTATATTTGTTATGCTTACAGAGGGAAATCGGTATGCCCTTTTAGAGGGGAAAATGAGACAGTTTCTTCCCAAATAATGGGCTCCCCCTGCTGGCTTTATGGTAAATAGTATTAAGCAAACTGCTGCCAAAGCTGTGTTTATTTGCAGCGATGGTAGGTATAGGTACTAGTGCATAAACAAGGAGGCAAATAGAAAGCAACTATATTTGTTATGCTTACAGAGGGAAATCGGTATGCCCTTTTAGAGGGGAAAATGAGACAGTTTCTTCCCAAAATGTCCTTTTTCAGGATATAAACATCAGAGTGCAATGCAGTAATCTATTCTTAAAAGTCTCTGTTTGAATTTGTGCATAAATATTTTTCTGTAGTTAATGTTCTGCCTTTTTTGTTTTGAGAGGCTGTTATAACTTTGGAACAACAGATTTGATCACTTATTTTCTACTTGTTTTAGATTCTTGCCTCCATTGAGCTTCTGGCCCGGTCATTGCCAAAAATTCACCGCAGTGCATCTGAGCCCTCATTAAACCGGGCTGGCTTCCAGACAGAGGATTTTAGTCTATATGCTTGTGCTTCTCCAAAAACACCCATCCAAGCAGGGGGATACGGTGGGTTTCCAGTACACTGAAAAGAAATGTGAAAGCGTGTGCCTGTGTGTCTGTGTGCTGGTGTGTTCCTGTGTGTGCAACACACGTGTACGTTCTCGGTTCCTACCAGCTATGTTTTTAAGGTTTACTGAGGGAATGAAGACTCACTTCCTAATACTGGGCATTGAATGTCCCGAGTACAAAGTCTGTGTTGGTAAGGAATGCCCTGGGAACAGCTGGCACAAGAAGAATTATAAGGTCACATAAGAAAAACGGGAAAAGTCACTTCAAAACAAGCAAAAATCCTCTTACGGTCATTGGGTGTCATTTTTGCTTGCCTGTGTCATTTTTGCCTAGTTTATGGATTGGAATTAGTTACTCAGGAGTGTATTTGATTTTAATCTACTCAAGCTATGGTGTGTGTTTGGTTTGTTTTTTGGGGTTTTTTTTGTTTGGGTTTTTTTTTTTTTTT